CCCATCTTGGCAGGTTGTTCTTTCGGTTGGCTGTGCAGATGCCATCTTGAGGGTTTTCTCATCTGCTTTCCTAGAGTAGCTCCATTGTTTCCTGGATCCCATGTCATCGTTCTTGGCTTACCCTTTCTCATTTTACCTGACAACGTCCTCAAATAAAACCCTAAGAAAGCATGGAGTGGTATCTTTTCTGAGCTCTATCTTCCAAAAAAATATGACTCAGTGTTTGAGTTTTGGAGCCAGTCCGAGATAGGTTTGAATCTTGGTTCTCCTACTTATTAGCTGTATGCCCTTGGGATGATTCCCTAATTGCTCTATGCATGAATTTTCCATTTGCAAAATGGGGGAGCCAGTAATAGCAGTAGTACCTATGTTTTTTTGGGAGCTATGAGGATTAATTGAATTGGTACATGTAAGCCATTTAGAACACTGCCTGGTGCGTACCACATCCCCATCAGTATTCACGTCTCTCATATTCTACCCTCACACTTGATTGATAGTTTGGTTGATTATGTGTTTTTAGGTTGAGGATAATTTTACCTTAGAATTTCAAAGTCCGTGCTGTTGTCTTCTAACCAGTTGTGGTGGTGAAGCCTCACGCCATCCTGAGTTTCACTTCTTTATGCAGAACTTTCTCCCTGGAAGCTTTTAGGAGTTTGTCTTTTCCTTGGTGAGCTGAAATAGCACAACAGTGTACTTAGTGTGGGTCTTTTTTCATTCATGTGCTGGGTACACCAAATGGATAGGCCTATGGATAGGCTCTTTCAAAGTTGAGTCTTTTTTTTTTTTTTTTTTTTTGAGACGGAGTCTCCCTCTGCCGCCCAGGCTGGAGTGCAGTGGATCTCAGCTCACTGCAAGCTCCGCCTCCCGGGTTCACGCCATTCTCCTGCCTCAGCCTCCCGAGTAGTTGGGACTACAGGCGTCCGCCACCGCGCCCGGCTAGTTTTTTGTATTTTTTAGTAGAGACGGGGTTTCACCGGGTTAGCCAGGACGGTCTCGATCTCCTGACCTCGTGATCCGCCCGTCTCGGCCTCCCAAAGTGCTGGGATTACAGGCTTGAGCCACCGCGCCCGGCCCAAAGTTGAGTCTTGAATCTTGTCATATTTTTGTTGTTAACTTTCTCCTTTCCATTTTATTTGTTCATTTTGAAGTGTCTGTTAATTGGATTTTAGACCTCTTGCCTTGAGTCTTGTATCTCACGTTATTTCTAATTTTTTAAAAAATTTTAAGTTCCGGAATATTTTTCTTATCTTTCGACTTTGAGGAAATTTTATTTGGAGAGTCATAACTTTAAGTTTTGTTTTGGTTATTTATTGTTGCTTAACCAATTATCCCAAAACTTAATGGCATCAAACTACACATTTGTCTATCTGTCACTACTGTATGGGTTAACTGGGGCTAGCTGAACAGTTTTTCTGCTGGTCTCATTTGGCAGCTCTCACTGTGCGGTTAGACGGTGGCAGGGACTGGTCGTCTGGATGCTCAGCTGCAGTGGAATGTCTGAGACGGCTTCTTCACCCATGGGACTCTGCTGCCTTGGTGTTTCTTCCTGTGGCCTTTCTCTCTGCATAGCACCTCATCCTCTCCGGCCTCTTCACGTGGCTTTTCTTTCTCCAAGAGGGTAGTCAGTTCTTATTTTTGGCTTCCAGAAGCACAGAAGTGGACCTGCCAGGCGTTCTTAAGGCTTAGACCTGGAACAGGTCCAGCGTCATTTCTACCACATGCTACAGGTTAAAGTGAGTCTTGGGGCCAACGCAGATTCACGTGGGATGGACGTGTCCAACGACGTGATGACGGGAGGTGTGGCTCATTGCGGACCAACTCCCAGGATGAACCCTGAGTTCTAAGAACTTTTTCTTCTCTGATTATTTCTTATTCATATTCTGTTTTGTTTTATACACGTAATATATTCACAAGTGTCTTTATGAAGTGGTTTTGATACTCTTTGTCTTCTCCCTTGCATCTCTTTGTTCTTTAATACATTTTTTCTTAGTTTATTTTGGTCTTATTTTTCTTTTTAAAGCCTTTCCTTAAATATCTCTTCTATGTTGCTTATCATTTGTAGTCTTTTCTTCTTCTTTTTTTTTTTGAGACCAAGTTTCGTTCTTGCTGCCCAGGCTGGAGTACAATGATGAGATCTCGGCTGACCACAACCTCTGCCTCCCAGATTCAAGCGGTTCTCCTGCCTCAGCCTCCCAAGTAGCTGGGATTACAGGCATGCACTACCAGCTAATTTGTGTATTTTTAGTAGAGATGAGACTTCTCCATGTTGATGAGTCTGGTCTTGAATTCCCAACCTCTGGTGATCCACCCACCTCGCATCCCAAAGTGCTGGGATTACAGGTGTGAGCTACCGTGCCTGACCTGTAGTCTTTTTTTTTTTTTAATTCCTTTATTTGTTCATTCATATTTGAGAGAGGTGCTAAAAGACTGGGAGCCAGTGTGTGGTGGCTCACACCTATAATCTCAGAGCTGTGGGAGACCAAATTTGGAGGATCATTTGAGCCCAGGAGCTCAAGACTAGTTTGGGCAACATAGTGAGACCTCATCTTTACAAAAAACAAAAAAAAAAAAAGTGAGGTGTGGTGACACCCTTCTGTAGTCCCAGCTACATGGGAGGCTGAGGCAGGAGGATTGCTTGAGCCCGGGAGGTTGAGGCTATAGTGAGCTGTGATCACGCCACTGCATTCCTGCATTGCAGCCTAGGTGAAAGAGCAAGACCCTGTCTCAAAATAAATAAATAAATACAAATAAAAATAAATAAAAATTGATTAGGAGTTCTTTGTGGCCAAGACTTGTCAACTGATAGCTTTTAGGGGAATGTATGCTGATTCCTAATTGTTATCCTCCACCCCTCTATCTTATCTCCTGGTGCAATCGTAAATGATGGCTGGAACTACTCCATTCCTCTAGATGTAAAATCTACATTCTCTTGCCTGAAGTAGGTATGTTTGCTTGGGTTCTGCTTAAGGAGATGGGGGCAACAGTGTATTTCAGGGCCTGTAACATGTGTTCTCTATACAGGCTTTTGGTTAATCTCTGTTTTCAGTCTTGCCTATCAGTCCCACTCTCAGGGGTACCTCGTATCTGAGTCTAAAACCTTTCCAGGTTGCTGTGGGACAAATTAGCCTCCTTGTTCTCAGTATCCCCCTGACCTCCACCTTTGTTAGCTTTGCTCCATTAATTAACCATTTTCCATTTACTATCGTTGTCTAACGGAGATGAATTCTCTTCTATTGGTAACCCCATTCCTTTTTGTAATTGTGTGTTTATACAATGTTTATTCTTCACTGTATTTCTATTGGAGCCTCAGGACGAAGAGCAGATGGTAAAAATATGTGTTCAGTGTTCAGTTTTCCTTCTGTAAGATATCTGCAAATTGGAATAGATCATGGACTTAATGCATATAGAGCTACTTTGTTTTTCATGATTGTGCCTTCAATTCTATGTAGAAATATAATTTGTGACTTGCCTGATGAAATTTTCCTAATTTTGAGTCATCTTTACATTCCTATAATAAACACTGTAAGAATGGCTATGGTAATATTTTATTTTTACATTTTTACTTCTGTATTAAATAAGATTATAGTTCTGTTTGTTTCCTTTAAGGCTGTTATTTCATTTCAGTGTCAAGGGTATGCAGGGCTGACTTGGGAAGCTTAACATCTTTTTTTCTAAGATCTAGGATGTAGATCTAGTTTACAGAGTAATTTTCAACTGCAGGAGTATTTTACCTTCCATGGGACGTTTGGAAACATCTGGAGACATTTTTATGGTCACAACTGGTCATGGTCGGGAGGTCTTATTGGCATTCTGTAGGTAGAGGGGATGTTTCTAAACGTCCAACAACACACGAGGAGAACCCTCCACAAAGAATTGTCTGGCCCAATATATCAATATTGCTGAGGCTAACAAATTCTGGTTTAAATAAATATCCAATTTGGAGGATGAGTCTTTGTCTTTTTTCCTTCTTCTGCATATTGGTCTCCAGATTTTCCACTTCCTCTGTTAGTTTTCATAACTGTAGATTCTTAAACAAATGAACACTTCATCCATACTTCTAAGGTGTTGTAAAGATGTGTAGTTTTCACTTTTTGCATCATATTCACATGTGGCTATATGCTCTTTTCTCTTCAAGGTTTTCTTTATTTTGATTACTTATCAGAGACTTCACTATTTTATTATCTTAGTCTTTTGAAAGAATCCTCATTTAGTATTATTTTTTAAATCTTTTTTTTCTACTTTTTCCTTATGTCTTAATTATTTACCCTTTTTGTTTATTTTGCTTTTCCTAGTTTAGTAGATCAATGTAATTTAAATTACTTTTTAAACAAACATGTAAGGGTATACATTTTCTTTGAGTGCTGTTTGACTTTGTTCCACAAGTTTTAAAATTATTTTTTAATAGCTTGTATTTTCTAAATTATTTTATTGCTGCTTTTGTTCAAATTGCTCTATTAAGTTTTATTTATTTATTTATTTATTTATTTATTGAGAAGGAGTCTCGCTCTGTAGCCCAGGCTGGAGTGCAGTGGCACGATCTTGGCTCACTGCAAGCTCCACCTCCTGGGTTCATGTCATTCTCCTGCCTCAGCCACCCAAGTAGCTGGGACTACAGGTGCTCACCACCATGTCTGGCTTTTCTTTTGTATTTTTAGTAGAGATGGAGTTTTACCGTGTTAGCCAGAATGGTCTCAATCTCCTGACCTCGTGATCCACTCATCTCGGGCTCTCAAAGTGCTGCAATTACAGGCATGAGCCATTGCACCCAGCCCAAAACTTTGTGTTTTTACAGATATTAGACATGTTTCTTGTTTAAGAAAAAAAAATCTTAACAAAAACGTAGAAGAATAAGAGAAACATTTTTCCAAAAAAGAGAAATCACTGTGATTATTTTGTCTTATTGGAATATTGGATAATATAGTCTGCTTCATTAATCATCAAGCATGCTATGGATTTTCCATTTTTGTAGAATTTGTATCTCAGTTAAGGTAACACTGGTAATTTTTGTACTGTATTTGAAGATGAAAAATATAGGCCAAAATCATAGACCTTGCATAGAAGCTGGATAATGAAGACAGTTCTGGAGGAAAACATAGATACACACACATGGACACACATATATATAAAGTATGCACACATTTTATTTTTAAAGTTTTAAAGCTTTTAAAGCAAAAGCCAGCCCCTCCCCTCTCCCAGAGTGGATGGCCTCTCCTCTCTCTTAGAGTGGGTTGGGATAGCGGTTGCATGGGGACATTTCCTTGTGAGCCACAGGTCCCTCTGGACACACTGCTGTCTGGCCACGCCCCCTTTCCCTTTCATCTTTCTCATTGACCAATGGGCTTGGAGCATTAAGGCCACACCCCTATTCAGCATTCTACTGGGGCCCTGGTTACGCCTCCTCTGGCTCAGTCGCACAGCAACCTGGTTGGTGACTGGAGGTGTTCATCAGTGCTCACTAGGATTTTGCTGATGTGGCCCCAAACCCGCCTCCCTCCCCACCCTGCGATGGCAGAAGAAACTCAACAGAGCAAATTGGCTGCAGCCAAGAAAAAGGTAAAAACGCACTGCGTCATGGCCTCCCAACCCAGCCACAGATCCCCTCTGATGACAAGACTTCTGCCAGAGTTGATACCTCTCCTGAGGCACACCGGACTGGGCCCTCCAACCCTGGTGCCTCTGGGCTACTCCCACCAAAGTTTTGTCAGTCAGCCCCACCCCTTCAGCAAGCAGCCCAGTCCCTGCCCACACTAATCACCCCAGGTTGACTTTGGGCAGGTGACTCCTGGGGCTCCCCACTCCATTACTGGGCCCTCATCTCCTGCCACCCCAAGCTTGATCTCCCTGGGCTCTTTGGGCTCTCATCTCAAAGGACCTGGGTTCCCCAGCCCCAGTCCCTCCCTTGCCAGTCATCCCTGGGTGACTTTGGGCTGGTGACTCCTGGGACTCCCTGCTGCAGACTCTGCCCTCCCCTCCTACTGCCTCAAGGTCGACCTCCCTGGGCTGTTTGCACTGGAGTCTCCAAGGACCTGGGTCCCAACCCTGTGTTTCCCTCCCCCATCATGAAGCAGCAACAGACATCATGTGGATGTGGTCCCTCCCCCGAACCAGGAGGAGTGGAATGTAGTGATGTCACAGTCCACCTAGTAACTGTCATTACTGGAAGACTGGACTTTGATCTTATGATTAAAGTCCTCTAAGCGTTCTCAACCCATTTCTGGTTCCTCTGGTCACAGCACACATTTCCAGTTGGAAGGGAAATGGAGACTATGGGACCTAGGAGCAAGAGGTTTCAGGCTGCCTCACTCCCTTAACATTGACGTTGACAGGGGGAAAAGCCTACACTTCCCCCGTGAGCTCAAAACGTTGACAGTATCTCTGGGTGGCAATGGGAGAATGGGTTTGGTTTGGTTTTCTCCCAGGCTTCTACTTTCCAGAGAGATTTTAACATTTTTTTTCTGAGTTCTCCACCTCATATTCTAATTCTCCATGGTTCTGGGACCAGACTGTGCTTCAGTCAGTGTTCTCTGAAGTGAGACTTGCTCATCTTCTGTGGAACAGATCTTGGGAAACTGAACTTGATGACTTGCATCTTCCTCATATTGTCTCAATCTGGGGTACTTTGAGTGCCACAGGATAAATGTGGGACATCTTCCTGAAGCATCAGTTTCCCTTGATTCTCTTGAGATCAGGAGAAAAATCATTAGTGTACTTAAGGATGACAGTCACATAGGTTTCTAAGAGTATACCAGACTTCTCTCTGAAATGAGGTTTGGGTTGTCCTCTTTCTGATGAATTCCCAGATTTAACAGAAAGGCTGTCTTCTGCCATGAGGACACATTGATATAAAAGTTTGAGAGGTACTGGTGCACTTCTTCACACTAACAGACGTGTGAGGATGTATGACTCTAAACCACATGGCATACAGCTCCTGCCTACCTAATGTTTACTTTTCTACCTCTGCCTCTGGTTTTCATCCCTGGCAGCTGCTGATTCTTGGCAAAACCTCAGAGCTTGGAGTCAGAAGATTGAGTTTCAAAGTTCCAGTTTTGCCTTTTTCTTATTTTTTTCTAGCCATGATATCAATCCCTCTCAGTCACTAAATGATTGTGACAACACCTTGTATAGTTGTTGGTGTCATTAAATCAGATAATGTATGAGAGTATTTTGTAAAAACTGTAAAGGAGGATGTGGTTGTAGGGGCTGATAGTTCTCATGAGTATTACTGTTCTTCTTTCCCACAGTTAAAAGAATATTGGCAGAGAAACAGCCCTGGTGTTCCTGCAAGAGCGAAGAGGAACAGGAAAACAAATGGCAGTGTCCCTGAGACAGCCACTTCTGGTGGTTGCCACTTACCTGGGGATGTGAGTCTTGGCTGACCAGGCTTCTGGGGACAGGGGGCCCAAGGGGCAGTAGAGGGTAATTGTTAAGATTGTGGATGGACTGCTAGGTACTGGTTCAGAATTCTGGATTTGGCCGGGCATGGTTGCCCACACCTGTAATCCCAGCACTTTGGGAGGCCAAGGCAAATGGATCATGAGGTCAGGAGATTGAGACCATCCTGGTTAACACGGTGAAACCCCGTCTCTACTAAAAATACAAAAAAGTTAGCCGAGCCTGGTGGCAGGTGCCTATAGTCCCAGCTACTCAGGAGGCTGAGGCAAGAGAATGGCATGAACCTGGGAGGCGGAGCTTGCAGTAGCCGAGACTGCACCACTGCACTGCAGCCTGGTGACAGAGCAAGGCTCCATCTCAAAAAACAAACAAAAAAAAGAATTATGGATTTGAATCCTGCCTCTCCATCTGCTAGGGATATGATTTAGGGCAAGTTCCTTGAGCTCTTTGGGCCTCCCTTTTCACATCTGTGTAATAGAGGTGGTATCGTTTGACTTCCATTTTTTAAGTTTAAATGAGATTTGTTACTGTTGTTTTTATGTTAATCCCTAGTACATGGTCTGCTGTAAACACTCAGGACACCCAGGATATGGTCATTGTTTGATTTTTCTCATCCCCAGTCTTAAGGGGAAGCCAGGACAATGAGAACAGCCACTTGCCATCAGGAGTCACTGAAAGGGGCCCCAGGGTGGGATAGTGGGGAGATAAGAACCATGAGAGAAGTTGGCACAAAGGAGTTATGGGGCAAAGGGTCCAAGATAGGCAGAAAAGAAAATTGTAACAGTTGATGGGGAAGAAAGGAAGTCAGAGGGCTTAGACACTGAGGAGGAGAGAACATCTCCATATGCACTCTCATCTCTTGTAGTCAGCAACAGGTATTGGCAGAGAGGGCCCTACGTCATCTGTACCCCTCAAGGATCTGGAGGTAAGAGGCTCTGGGCGGAGGTGCAGTGACCCTGCAGGCCAGCCCTCCAACCTCCTCCCACAGCGGGGACTGGGTGCCCCTCTGCCAGCTGAGACAGCCCACACACACCCCAGCCCTAATGATTGTTCTCTCTACTTCTCCCCCGACTCCTCCTCCACCTCCTCCTCTCTGCATGTGCCTCAGAGCCCGTCCCAAGAACTAGCAGCTGCCCTGGACTTGAGGTCCGTCAAAATCAGTCAACTGAAGAACACCATCAAATCTTTGGTAAGAGTCCAGTGGGGTCCCCTGATTCCATGCTGCCAATCCTGGGCTCCAGTTTTCCCTTGGGGCCCTGAAGAAAGGGGCTCAGGCCCCCTGGTGCCAAGGACAAATAGGGATCTGGGGTGCCCAGACCTCACCTGGAGGGACCCCAGAGCATGCACCATGGCTCTTCTTTTGCTGCCCTCTTTGCCGACTGTCTCCTCTCCACACACCCCTGCTGGAGTCCTTGCTACACACGCCCTGGGGCTGTGGCCTCTCGGGGGAGTGCGAGCGTGACTGGTTGTCAGGGGCCCCGTATTTCTGCCGTGGCTCAGTCCCTAATTTGCTCTTTGATTCTGGACAAGCTGCCTCTCCTTTCTGGACTCGTGTTTCCAGAGGAGGTAGTGAGTATCAAAGGTGTCTGTTAGCTCTGAGAGTCCGAGATTTAAAGCCCCCCTAGAACAGAAACCTCAGGGCGAAGGGCACCTGGCTGTCCTTTTCCGTCCTATATATACTGTGAGGAACCATACCTGGCCCATACGTGCTCAGTGAATGTTTATTGAATGAACACACTTTTCTAAATGACAAGTCAGTGGAAGAGGGGGGCCTTTCTCAAACTCCGTCTCTAGAGGTTTATGTTCCTGTCCTCTCAAGAGATTTCAGATTCAGACTTTGAGTTCTGTGGCTGTGGGTGGAAACCAACAAAGACCCAAATCCTCTGTCCTTGGGACCTTGAGGAGAGTTGACCAGTTCGTGTTCCCATTGGGTCTAAGAACTCTGCCTTTAAAATCCATTCCTGGCCCCGCCTGCCGCTTCCTGGCCTGGGGAATAGAGTTGAGGGGCCACCCTCCATCACCTTAATTTGACTCTCCCGACAGAAACAACAGAAGAAACAAGTGGAACATCAGCTGGAAGAAGTAATATGATTTGTTTGCTCGCGACATGACTGCTGGGTTTGGGGGACACTAAGATGTAGTGGCCCCAGTCTCCTCTCCCCCACTCCCAGCCTGGGGAAGAGGGCTCACCCCTCAGATTCTACCCCATCCCCACAGGGTCCCTGATAACCTGGTCCCATGGGTGGGCCTGTCCTGGGGCATTGGTGGCTTTCTGGGGGCATGTGTCTTGCTGTGCCATCTCTGCCTCCCCCTGGTAAGAGCTCTGTCTTCCTCTTCGTATAGGAAAAGAAGGCAAACAATGAGAAACAGAAAGCTGAAAGGGAGCTAGAGGTGAGTGGAGGGTGTGAAGTTTTCTCCTGTCCTCCGGGGAATGTTTCTTTCCTTCTCTTCCAGCACTTGCTTGGCTTTTCTCCCAAAGGTTCAAATCCAGACATTGAACGTGCAGAAAGGGAAACTAAGTACGGACCTGTTTCGCACGAAACGCTCGCTCAGATACTTTGAAGGTGGGAATCTGGGCACCCTGTCATTCTTCAGCCTGGCACTTTGACAGGTCTTTAGGGGGAGTCCTTTGGGCCCCATCTCAACTCTCTCATTACAGAGGAGTCCAAGGATCTGGCCGACCGCCTGCAATGTTCATTGCAGCGTAAAGGAGAGTTAGAGCAGGTTCTCTGTGCTGTCACCGCCACACAGAAGAAGAAGGCGAACCTGGTGAGTCCAACCACCTGCCCCGTCCCCTGGGAGCCCGGCTTCGTGGATGGAGGAGTGAGCCTCAGGGTCCCTTCTGCAGGATGGAGTGGCCTGCCCAGGAGGCAGCATGGCCTTGTCTCGCTGTTTTTGTGTGTGGTTGTTAGAGGCAGCCTGGGGCTGAGTCAGCTGCTGTGGGTGAGTTGGGGGGCGCGGTGGGGAGTGAGCACTGGATGCAGAGCTTGGAGGCCAAGTGCCTGCCCTGCCCTTACCTGGCTGTGGTCTTGGCCAAGTGCTAGGTAAGGTATTGGGTACTTGTTCTGTGAAGGTACAGAAGATTACCTTTAGTATGTTACCATTTCTGTAGAGAGGAAACGTGTGCGTGTGTGTGCACATATTATGATAGTATACATAAAACATGTCTGCAACAGTTCAAAAAAACTCAGGAGAGAGCAACAAGGTGGCTGGGAGATATTTCCCTTCTGTACCTTCTGAGTTTTGGACTATGCAAAGGTATCATCGTTTCAAAAACTGAACAAAAGATTATTTTTCCCCTTCCTATCTGTGCTTTCAACCCCAGCAAGAAAATGGGCTTAGAGAATCAGATAGACCTGGGTGTTCAAATCCCAGCTTTGCCTAAGTGATGTTAGGCAAGCATTTAACCTCATATACTCCATGTTTTTTCATCAACACAATGGAGGTCGTCATAGTAACTGTCTCCTATGTTGGTTGCGAGGAGTAAATGGGATTGCTAGCGTGGTGCCTGGTGAAGCACTCCATAAAGGTTCAGACAGTGCTAGTAATAACAGTAATAACAAGAGCAATATTATCTGATCTCTCTGGGCCTCTGTTAGGCAGCTGTAAATTCCATCTCATTCCCTGTCCCAACTTTACTGAGTTCTTTTAAAAACCAGACCATGGGCTTGATCTTTACTGACCGAGTTGTATATTGAGCCTAACTCTAGCCCTTTTAAGGGGCACTGTGTGGAATGGCCCAGGCTCCCCAGATTGAAACTTCTCACTCTTCACCATCCAGTCCTCGAGCCACAGGAAAGCATGTATGGAGTGGAAGTTAGAGTGGTCCACACGGGAGCAGGCACTTCTGAAAGCACAGCTGACACAGGTGGGGTTTTGCAGAGGGAGGGAGGGAAGGAAGATGACCCCAGGTGGCCAGGAGCAGGTGAGGACCAGTGACAGCCCTTCCTAACTTCTGTGCCCATTCTTGCAGTTGAAGGAGTCACTAAGAGAAGCCCATCTGGAGAGGGATGAGTATGTTGAACATCTAAAAGGGGAGAGGGCCCGGTGGCAGCACAGGATGAAGAAAATGTCGCAGGAGGTGAGATCTGATCCTTCAGCCCCCTGACCTTAGATGGGTCACGGAATCTTTCTGGGCATCTGTAAAATGGGAACAGTACAGCCAGAGGTGGTCATGGGTCTGGGCTTTGTGGAGGTGGGGGCAGAGAGGGAGATGGCAGCCACCAGCCACCAGCCCCTTTCTCCAGGGCCCTTTCCCCCTGTGCTTTGGGCAGGTTTGCACCTTGAAGAAGGAGAAGAAGGATGACATGCGTCGGGTGGAGAAGCTGGAGAGGAGCTTGTGCAAAGTCAAGAACCAGATGGGTAAGATGGGGCTGGCGTGACCTGGGAGCAGGCCTGGCATCAGAGGGCTGTGGGGGGCTTAGAATGCCCCAGGGAGGTGGGTGGATGGAAGAGCTTTGAGGCAGAGGGAAAGAGGTCTGTGCCAGGAAACGGCAAGTCTTGTCATCTGTGTGAGCCTCAGTGTCCCCATCAGCACAGAGGGCCCATTGTCAGTCACCCACAGTGCTCTCCATCTGAAAGTGGTTGGAAGATTGGCTACCATCCGGGTGCGAGGAATCATTAGCAGTGAGGCCAAGTTTGGGGAGCCTGAGAGGAGCTGTGCACCAAGAGGAGGGGTTTTTGTTTGCTTGTTTGTTTTTTTGTTTTGTTTTGTTTTGTTTGAGAATCCAGAGGCCCTTATTGTCTGCTTCCTTTCTCAGCTAAACCCCAGCACCCGGAGCCCCCAGCAGTGCCCCCTGAGGAGGAGCTGCAGCACCTGAGGAAGGAACTAGAGAGGGTGTCAGCAGAGCTCCAGGCCCACGTGGAAAACCATCAACACGTAAGTCCCCTGAACCAGCCACAAAAGGAGAGGCTTGGGAGGCAGGAGGAGAGGCTTCAGCAGCTGGTCGAGCCACACCGCGGTGTTGAGGAGCTGGTGCGTTGCCCCCCTGGGCAGCCTGTCCTCCTCCCTGGCCCTCCAGGCCTTTGTTTCCTCACCTGTAAAATGGGGCAACGTAGCCCTCATGTGAAATGTTACTTCTAAAGGCACCTGTGAGCCAGGGCCCTGCTCTGGTGGCTGTGGGACAGAGGGGATGATTTTTCTAACCTGCCTCCACCCTTCCCCGTGCCATGGGAGGCAGACACCGAGTTCTGGGGTCTCCAGTTTCAGTGG